GCCAGCAGTGACATCATCTGGACCTTTGGCAGACTTAAGAATACATGTGTGTAACTTAAATCAAATTTTCATTTTTCTCACATTTTTCTCCCCAAACTTGTGTTTCTTATCTTTTTTCTTTTCTCAAATATTTTCTGGGTTTTTAAATATTCTTTGCTATATACACTATATACCCATGTGCACATATAAACATTGCTTTATTTTTTTGCTGAAGTTTAAATTGTATTTTTTATTTACTCATATTGCTTTTCTTAGTAATTTTAACTTTCATGGCATTTTCTTTCACTAGAATAAAAAAGACAGTACAATCTCCCTTTTTCTTTCCTACAACTGATGAGATAAAAGAGGCGAAAGTCAGGCCAGAAAAGAATACTTTACAAGTAAATAGTTATCCCGGGAATAATCTAGAACTAAAACTATGGTTCAGTGGTAGGAAACTGTAAAGGCACTTCACACGTTCTTTGCCAAAAAGGGCATAGATTAAATTGTTCTCAAACTTTTGAGGTAATGGGAATAATTGTGTTGTCTCTTGCGATGTTTAAAGACTTACGCTCCAATCACATCACCAGTTTGTGCTAAGGTTTTCATTTTTTTACTTGGTGACAACTGTAATCAGAGTCCACAGAGAGAGTGGGGAGCTTGAAATGCACTTGTGCACGTGCTAAAGCAGCTTTGGTTTTGGTGGACTGTCACCAAAGCCCAGTGCAGTATTTAAATGAATGCTCTTAGGACAAAATATTACTTCGTGTTTTAGGACTGCAAACAAATGTTAAGGTGAATGCAAATTCTGATATGGATATAAAACCTATTCCTGACATCTGGATCAGAAGTGTCCCATCATGGACTGATAGTCTCGGGTTGTGCCCTGCCCCCCACCATTGTGTCAGAACAGCTCATTGTCATGTCTGCTTTTCATCAGGAGATGGCTGAATTTACAGTGTAGTAATGTGGTCAGTGTGATATACTACCTGTATGGTTTTATTGAACTAAACCAGCAGTTCTCAAATAGGTGTTTTTTCTTCCAGGGAGACATTTGGTAATGTCTATAGACATTTTCAATTGTCACGTTGGAATAGAGGAGAGTGCTACTGGCATTTAGTAAGTAGAAGCCAGGGATGTTGCTGAGCTTGGGTAACACAGCCCCTTGCAACAGAATTATCGGATCCAAAATGTCAATATTGCTGAGTTTGAGAAACAGTGACCTAGAAGTAGCAAGGATTTGCTTGTTGGCTCTTGCTCTGCGGGAATCATACTTGAGTGTAATTACATTTAAGGACACACAGATTTTATTTGCTGATGATTCTACTTAGCATTCTTCTTCTGGGTGGCTGGGATTACTCCTGTATCTGTGGAAAGTTGACAGGTGCATAAGACTTCTAAAGAAATACCAGGTGTATCTCTCCCAGAATGCATGTAGCTAATCTGCTGAATTAGCCAACACCCATATTATCATTAATAATCTTCCACACTGCTCTCTTAAGATGTTTACATTCTTGATCAGATTATCTTTTACTCCTGGCGCCAAACAATTGAGCACATTTTCCAGCTTTTAGGATCTTAGGATAATATTGCCTTTGAGATTTGTTTTTGTGCATAGTACTTATGATCTACTTTAATATTGTAATTGCTGTTTACAAAGTAGACTTTGTCTCGTTTTGGATTATGCTGTTTTTATCTTGGTTGTGCTAGCTAGGAAACAGTGACAGCAATCTTCTGAACTGGGCTAAGGCCTAGTCAAGTGTGGACAGACACATGTATCCCTTATCTCACTGGGGTTTCATTTTTCTTCTTGTCTACCCTAGTCTAAGCTTGTGTCACGAGCTTGCAGTGCATATCATGTCTCAGCCTAGCGAGGTATGGTTCATTGCATATTTTCTCAGAGACAGCTGGGCACTTCATAGGGAGTGGTCCCCCCTGCCTGTCACCAGGGCAATTCTCTTTCACATCTCCCAGGACAGATGGAGAACGTAGAAATTAATAATTCACAGTATGTTTATAAGTGGGGATCCTTCCTAGACTGAGACATACTTGAATTTTTTTCAAAAACATCTTGACATCTTGATGAAGAGAGGCCCAGTGGTGAGCCAAGAGTAGAACATAGGAAGTCGGAAAATTGGGCTGAGAAAATGGACGAGACATTTAAATTTGTCAGTGGTCGTCTGCTCAAAAGCCTTTTAAGTGCTCATTGTATTGATTGATGTTTGCTTAGTGGAGTAGGAGAGAGATTATTTACTTGCACTTATGTTTATGTGCTCTGTAGGACTAAAAGGTCTGGTTTGTGTTTGTATTCATCATAATTATTCAGTTTGTGGTTAGTGCTGGAGAAAAGACATCAGGATGCATTGTGAAATACCCTCACTGTTCTCTCAGGAGAGAGGAGGAAATGAGTGTTCTGTCTCTTGGTTAGAGACCGAAAAGCTGTGCTCACTTAGCCATCAAATAGGAAATGATAACTGGAACCTCTTGTCTACTTTCCATCAGTATAAGGAGCAGATAACTTCACTTGGGGAGCAAGTTCTTAGTAAGAATTATGGGGGTTTCAGTTGCAGTGGTTCCAGTTGAAGAGAGAGAGGATTTCATCTGTCTTGAGTCATTTGAGTGGCATTATTCCTCAAGATTAACTCTGTTTGTGTGTTACAGTGTATAATTATGCTCCTCTGTATATATTTGGAAGTCACTTAGCATGTTTTGAAATGGAGTATTGAAATGAGTTAAAAATATCACATTCTTAGTTTTAGTTTTAGGAGACAGGCAAATTCCTTCTCTTCATTTCTGACCCTAGCAACTCTGAAGTCAGCAGTTGCAAAAAAACAAAAAACAAGCCAAAAAAACAAAACTTGTGTATCACTGTTCTGTAAGATAATTGTTGAATTCAATATCTCTGTGTTTTACATATTATTTTCATAGTGCAATTTAACATGTAGTCTTTGAGTGTTATAAATTTGAAAAGATTCAATAAGAATATTAGAAAAGGGGTTTAAAAGTTTCTTAAAATCTTGATATCACTGTAATCTGATGAAAAAACTCTACCCATAGGGATTTTTTTACTATGCATTTTTTTTTCAGATTTCCTTTTTCCTAATATAGCTTATTAACTTTTACTGAGATTAGTAAATAAATAATTATCCTTCATCTTAAAGTGAAGTCATTTGGGAGTTCCATAGTACATGCTTTTATATTAATCAAACCCTCCATTTCCTTTCTAATGGATGCAGTAAAGTTAAATGCGTTAGTTATAGATTAGAGGGCATACATCTAAAGTTCTGTGAACTAAATTTCTTCTGTAACACTGATTTTTCTTTTCCATTAACAAGTCTCTTAAGAGAATACTAAAACATCAGGCAACCGTTACTGCTCCTAATATTGCTAAAACCAGGATGGTTTTATACTTTGTTAAACTCATGAAGAAGAAGAGGATACCAGGCTTGGTTAGTAATTAGCACCAAATTCATGTCCAAGAAAGATCTGTGTGGAAATAGGATTAGTATGGATAAAAATGTAATGATAAATTCACTGAGAATCTTAGGGTTGAGTAATCGAATTTCATTGATAAACCCTGACCTGAAAAACCTGTTCTTTTTAGTTTAATCTAGGTAGAAAATGAGTTACTGTAAGTAAAGGAACTACCAGGCCCCAAAGTCCCCCTTAAAGTCATACATAGGGAAAATGGGAAATTATAGCTAAGTGTACCTTTATTTATGAAATATTATAAATATTAGATATTTTGGTAACATAGGTTAATTTTCTATAAAGATTTTTTTGTTCTGTTCTGAACGTTGAAATAAATGAGTTTAGAAAAAATGGCAACTGTTTTTCCAAGTCCTGTAGAATGTATGTTTTTAAGTACTTGTATATTTTCATACATGATTGGTAATGATCCCCCTCTCATGCCATTGCAGTTAGATGCCTTTGGCTCTGGAGTGCTCTGGAGGCTATGCTTGGCTGTTGGGGTAGAGGGTAGAGGTGGAGCAGAGGGGGCCTTCTCTCCTTCTCCATGTAGTCCCAGGGCCTCTCCTTTCCACATGGCCTCTTTCTGTACAGAGTAGAGGAAGTTAGCAGAGTAGCACACATGTACATAGTGGTTTACAGCTCCTGAGAGCAAGCATTCCATGACAGGGAGCAGAAACTGCCAGTTTGTTCAAAGATGAGGCTAAGATGTAGCAGGGTGTAACTGCCGTTGCATTCTATTAGTTAATGTAAGGTCATTAACCAATGAACTTGCTTAATGCAAGCCCACTCAGTTTCACATTAGGAGAGGACAAGGGCTCGGGCTCCTTCGGGATAGTTTTAGAGATGAACTATCACAGTATTATTAAAACACTTCATTTAAAACAATTTATGTTATGTGTGCTAGTTAAAGTTTCAATTCTAGGGATGGTCAGTTGTACTAAGTAAGAATCTATGCATGATGTGTAGTTAGCCAATGGTATATGAAAAGGCCTGTAATGTACTACAGCGGCTATCACTATAAGCACATCAGCTATTCAGATTTTGATCAAAACTAAGCCAGGAAGTTGGATGTCTTAGTGGAGGAGGGGATGAGTGTCCTGGTCCAGGGCCAATAAGCCTTCCCTAGGTTAGAGTTTGGTGTGACTGGGTCCCTCTTACTGGTTCTGCTCACCCAGTCCAGTGTGTACAGGTGGGATAGGGGAGTTCTTAGGCACTCAGGGGAAGTAAAGCATTTTCTATGTCAGTGATTGTGGTGGCTGGTGAGGGGAGCCCTGACATTTAATCTTCCTTGCTGGTAGTGCTATATATAGAGAATATCAACCACTGCAATGACAAAGACCTTAAAGATCATAAAGACTAACCACTAATCCATGAACTTAATCCTCTCTCTTCCTCTGACACATTCCTCAGCAAGTTAGAAACAGAACTCTGCTTTTTCCCATGAAGTACCAGAAATAATGGATTCTCCTTTAGAGACTGCCTTCTTTAGCAAGTGTCGATGTGGTCACCAGATTTCCTTGGCCTGAACTTTCATCTGGTTGTTGTTGCAGAACGTGCCAATAGAAGCATCCACCAACTGAAAGGTGCTCTAAGAGAAGGTGGTGTCTCCGCTGGAGAAGATACACTGGATCCTTCTTGTAACAGTGGGGTGGGGGATGAGGACCCTGAGGCGGCCTGGCATGAACTGCAGCACAGCCATGCTGGTGAGTGGGGATGTCAGTCTTGGTCTGAATGACACATGAATTTTTAAATTCATAGAATGATGGCTGCATTTCTTTCTCCAGTCTGCTGCTTGGATGCTATTCCTGAAACACAAATCAGATAATGTAATTCCCCTGCTTGATTTTTTTTTCCTTTAACTTCCCAGTGTTAGCGACTGAAGTCCAGAATCCTGAATATGAGATATATCCAAAGACAGTGCCAGCCTACCTCTCTAGCCTCATTTTTCTATCCTGCTCATCCTAACCGTCTGTTAATAAGCCATGTTTTAGTTATACCAATCTCCTGGCCGTGCTTCTGTGCCTTTACATGTGCAATGCCCTCTAACTGGAATTTTTCTCGACCTTTTCTGTTTGGTGAACTCCTGTTGGTCCTTATGGTAAACAGGCACGATTAGGTGCTTCCTCTTCTTGGAGTACTAAGCATAGCTCTAGATCCACATGCATACTTATGTTTTACATCTCTTATGTCTTTTGCTCCCTGTACTCTTAGCTTTTGTAGGGTAGAGATTTTTTTTTTTGGCTTTGTATTCCCAGTCAATAGCACAGTTGTTCATGCATAGTGCATATTTCAGCAATTTTTGTTGGAAGGATAGAAAGATGGATGAGTGGTAATAAACTCATTGCTTTTGCTCTGTAGTTAATCAGCTCAAAGCTTTGTTGCGCCAACAAGCAGCTAAAGAAAGTGAGGTATCTCCAAGAAGACGGAAAATATCGTCTTTGGTAAGTATGATACCAACTTTGCAACCTGACAAAGGTTTAGTTTCTTAATTTTGTTTTACTTTACAGTGTCATTTTAGTAGTGTATGTTACAGACAGATTATGAGCAGAGATTGCTAATTGTATAAAGCATTAAAAGAAATTCTCTTCTGATTATTTTGGCTGAAGAGGAGAGATTTCAAGAGGAGAGGGACTCTTGATAATTTTAATATATTACTCACTTGCAAAATTCTCCAAACCATTCTTGCTCTCATTTTACAACTGTTAGAAAATGTGTAAAAGAAAGAATATACAGTAGAACCTCTTAAGTTGACTACCCAAGGGACTGTAACAAACTGGTCAACACAAGGAACTAGGCCTACTGTATTGATATGTATGTGTGATGCATGTCTAGTCTATGAAAATTAGGCCAACTTGAGGAGGTGGTCGGTGTAGGGAATTGGTCAACTATGGAGGTTCTACTATATTTAAAATAATGTTTTAGTAATATCTTTTTTAGAGGATTTTGTCTATATTTCAATTTTTAGAGATTACTAAATTATAATTGAAGCCATCCTTTGTAATACTCCTTTATTTTGAATGGCAAAACTAAAGTATATAATGTTCCTCTACATGCTAAATTACATAGTTGTAAAGTAGTATGATGTATAGGAAGTAATGCTCTATTTCTTCTGAGGTTGTATTTTTATTGCTTTGGAAGAGTATACTATTCCTGATTGAAGCACTTTATATGCTAAAGGCTAAGATATATACTATCAAAAGAACTTTGGACCAGGTTTAAATGGCAAAAATAGTAGTCAAGGCCCGAGATCAATCTAGGGTTTATTACATGTTCTCTAGAAGAATATTGTGCCTATCTCAGAGTTTTTGCAATAATAAGATCACATACTTAACATTCTTCAGAAATCTATTAATAGGCT